TATACGGCGTCTCTACGTCACTCCTCCTTAGTCCAGATATGGTCACTTCCTGTTTACTGGTCACGTCCACTTCTTATATTCAGTCTGTGGTTGAACCGTCATTTCTTTTCTTTATCGATATCGGGACTAAAAACGACGGATTGGCGCGTCACAAACTAAAATATCTTTGTATGAACCAATAAGATTCCTCTTCACTGTCAACACACTTTGTTTGTTAATGATGAGCCTCACAACATTATTACCGACAGGTATATTGACTTTTGTTAATTTTCTCTCCAAAACTGCCACAACAATCATTAATATCTTTACAAGAAAATCAATGTGTGTGTGAAGGTGGTGAAGAGGCATTAAGATAACACACTCCATCAGGATGATTCAGATCATTTCAAACATGCAATGCATCATCCAACAGTGAACAATGAGACGCTTAATGCGCACTAAGTGCTCAGGTAACCTGAACAGAAGAGGCAGACAAAATATAAATAAAAAAAACCAACAACTTTACAATTTAGCGTGCAGAGCAGAAACCACTGCAGGATAATAACCAGATGTCAACAACCCCCTCGTCGCTCTGTTACGTTTCATTCTGCAGATCATCACATCAGTATTCAATCTGCCCGTCTGTCTGGGAGGCGAGGTGTGTGTGTGTGTGTGTGTGTGTGTGTGTGTGTGTGTGTGTGCATCAGCTTCTCCACACACACTCGTCTCCCTCCTCGTCCTTCACGCTTCCAGCGGCGGGGATGAGGACGGGTGAGCTCCGGGTTAAGCTCCACATTATGAGGGCGAAACAGAAGGAAGAGGTGGGCATATTCTCTTTACCTCCATTATTAAAGCATTATCTGCCCTGAGAATATTAACACATCCACTGTCAGGGTGAGCTTATGCTGTTGAAGAAGTATTTACATCCGTTACTGACCACAATGTGAAACAAACACTTCACTACAAATGTGTTAAAGTAATAGTTTGTCCGTTTTGACATCTGGATAAGAAGCTACAGGCCACCGGCTAGTTAGCTTAGCATAAAGACCGGAACAATCTAGCCTGACTCTGTCCAAAGCTGCAAAGATCTGCCAACCAGCATCTCTAAAGCCTCAGTACAAAACAATGATGAATCCATTATTGTTTGGCCTGATGGTGGCGCTAGACTCATTCATCCTCAGGGAAATTTAATGACGATCCATCCAATAGTTGTCATACATGTAAACATCAGGATTGTTTTACGCCTGATGATACAAAACGACTGGTAATGACTCAATAATGCTAAAATGCTACATTTAGCACCTTTACTGCTGTGAATGAGACCTTCATCTACTTTCTAAATGTCAGTACAAAGGTTAAGTAGTTCTCATCGGTCGGGTATGTCACAATGACACGATCTGCTATTGTCATATTTACTTTGAAAGCAATACAACTGAGGTATCATCACGGTGAGGTTTTGTCCAAAGAGTTGTTCTCCGCTCCGCTCGAGCGGCGATTCACTCCCACATGAGAGAAGTGGCCAAAAAACAAGGCAGAGTTCAGAGCGATTCGTTTGGTGGGAACGAGGCTAAAATACTTGTGATTCAGACATTTTAACGGCCTTACAGTGAGAGGATGAAAACATGAAACGCATCGTTACAAATCACACCGGTTCATCCTCTGTGGAGCTGGAACGTGATCAACAAGTTTCATGGCTTACTGCCAGTTAGATATCTTGATATATCATAATTAATATAATATAATGAATGAGTGGCCCAAATGAAAGGGTTAATGCTCTGGGGATCAACCTCTGTTGATCAAGAATATACATAGCAGATTTAAAGGAGGTCTGGTCATTTGTTTTTCAAGATACCGTGTCGTGGACCGAAGGTCTGGACCTGATCAGAGGTTATTGTGGGTCATTCAAACTTAACCAGTTCATCCTCTGGGGAGCAGGAGTGTGATCAGTATGTTTCATAACAACCTCCCTGTTATATTTGGAGATATCTTGTGGACAAAGTTGACATTTTCACTTGAGAGTGGTGCTCGAGGAAAGTTTACAAAGTGCCCAAAATCAAAGGGTTCATCCTCCGGGAAGCATGAATATGCTCAGATTTTGATATGTTATGCGTACAAGTGAGAATTTTGTTCTGATGTTAGTTAATCGTCTGAGGAAATCAAATTTTTTAGTTTGTAGTTTTTCAACATGTCTATGTTGAAAAACTTTGAAGTTGATCAAAACATGGATCATAGGGATCAAACAGGTTCATCCTCTGGAGAGCAATAATGAGCTCCAAGATAATCATTTAAAGATAAGATTATTAAATATCAAGCCTGCAGAGCTTACAATTTGGCTGGGGCTGCAGGGAACGGTCAAGCAGTGAGACCGTTGTTAGGACTCATCTTCTGGGGACAATGAACCCTCATAACAAAGTTAATAGAACTATGGCTATTGAGAGATAATTTGCATGGAGCTTCAAGGGAAAATTTTGGCTTAATAGTGGTGCAACAGCAAAGGTCGTGTTGTCAGCAAAGGTATTTGAAACCTTCCGCTGGGGACCAAGACAAATGATAGATTCCATGTCATTCTGACCAACATCCCTCTGGACCACAGTGTTCAATCCGGCCTGTTTAAAGCGCGACAATAACTGAACAGAAGTGTAAAGGCTTGCTGTATTTGTTGCGGGTCCTTCAAAAGATTGCAGGGTTTTACGGTGTTTATTTTGGGGTAAATTCCATCGCCGCCATGTTGGCGATGACTCGGCGACACTCACCACACGAGGTATTGATGGCGTCCCGCAGCTCGGCGTACTTCCACTTGCTCAGCTCGTACTTCTTGGCCCCGGCAGCAGCCTTGGTGGCCTGGACCTGTGGACCTCTAACACGGGAAAACAAGACAAGGGGGGGACGCCGGAGAAGTCAGCAAACAAATATTCTACCAGCATTGCATTGTGGGAAAAAAAACGTCAGCAAGGGGAACGTAACAGCAGATTAGCAGCATCGTAGTAAGAGAAGGAAAAAGAAAGATGGCTACAGTAGAACTGTAGAGGGTTTGAGATCATTCGCTTCAATCTGAATTTATGTCAAAAAAAGGATTTGCAAGTTATGTTTTAACTTAGTAAGAACTAGATGGGTGAAGTTTACAGATAGAAGTACAACAAATAATTATTATAATAAATAGTGTAATTTGATTTGATGCCCAATGTTAGTTTCACACCTACCGACTCCAACAAACACTATTAATCCTGTTATACATTTTATATTTCTACGTCAGTTATGTGTTGTTAAAGGCAGCTATAAAGTAGTTCCTCTTACAGTAAACTCCACCCGACCTGAGAGGAATAAGAACCACAGGTTTAATACAACAGTATTAGCATTGGCTGCAGACGTTAAGGTGAAAGCGAGGAACAAACGGGGAGTCAGATTAGCAGCATCGTAGTAAGAGAAGGAAAAAGAAAGATGGCTACAGTAGAACTGTAGAGGGTTTGAGATCATTGTTAAAACGCATGCTGTCTCAGTCGCTAGGAGTCAAAATAGCGCCTTTTTAATCCGTGACCGGGATTAAGAACATTCTGTGAGCATGACTGAGGCTTCTAGTTCACGGGATGTTAAAGGGTTAAAAATATCTCAGCAGATTAGCACGAGGTAAACATGACGAGCTGCCTTTACTCTCATCTACAGCTGCACTAAAAACAAAGTTTGGAAAGGATTTAATAACAAAAAGCTCAATATTGGTTAGTGGTGAATTAACTTCACAGAGTGAAATAAAGTTGTACTGACTCAGCAGAACATGTGTTTCTAGTCTCTGATCATGTTTCATTGTAAACAACCAATCAGAGGAGAGCTAGTAACGTTAGCAGCACCGCTAACGGCTAACCAACAGAGGTTCACTTCAGTTACACTATGATGCCTTCAGGCTCTGCTCAGTGAACATGAGTACTGGCTGAAGGTACATTATAACGTTATCATGATGTGTTCACATGTCATCTGTAAAATGTAGTTTTAGTGATAAACTAGAATAAATCCAGTAGTTTGAAGGAGATGTTTTCACACGAATATAAAATAAGATATTAGAGATGAATTATGAGATTAACTTCCTACATGAGCTCTAAGATTATTATAATCTCCTTAAATCTAGTTAGAAACACTAACATGTTCCGTTTTAACCATTTTGTTTTCTTTTAACATGAAACATCCAGAAGTCAGAAGCAGATCAGATGACTTCAACATAAGTCCTGTTTTCTACTGAATGTGCTTCTCAGAAAATAAAAGAGTGAAGAGAAATGTAGAGAGAATGTAAATAAATGGTTGATCATATTAGAAAACAATAGAATAAACTAAACCACACAGATTCTGTCTGGTTTAGCAGGAAGTGCGTATTGAGGATTATTGATCAGGCTTTTCAGTAACTCTGTAAACTTCATCTTTACAGTCGATAACAGTATATCTATAAACACTGAATCAGGTTGGAGCTGCAGACTGAACTGAAGGTGTTTTTACTGCAAAAGTGGAGTAAAAATCACGAGTTTAAACAACATTTAACGAGCAGGTTCTTCAGCCGGCAAACGTCTGCAGGTCGACGATCAATGAGACGAAATGTGCATTAAAATAAAGAAGAAAATAATGAGAGACCTGCAGCGGATATCAAACTGCTCTGAGGGAATTAACCTGTTCATCAGAATTCATCAGTTAGATCAAGATCATGAAGAAAATCAACGTTGAGAGGATTTCTGCGTCTCATGTGATCAGAGGTCTGGTGCGTGGAGGCGATTGATTGAGTTGAGATTCATTTGGTGTGAACAGTTCGTACCCACCTCGCCAGCAGCTCGGTCATTTCTTTCGCCATTTCCTCCCTAAAAAGCACGACGTCAGCGTTTTTAAGTGTTAGTAAAATGTTGGTTCAGGTCGTATACAAAGTACTGCACAGAAATACTCATAGCAGATACATGACATGAGGAAGGAGGAGATGAAGAGGAGGCTTTAGGAGGGAAGAGAAGGAAAGGAGGAACAAAAGAATATATGAGAGTGAAGGAGGAGGAGAAGAAGTATTGTGTTGTACTATAGTGTTTGCTGTAACATTGTAATAATTGATAATATTAGGACACTACATTTTAATAACCTGCTCAGGGACTACAGATGAAAAGAAACTTTAGTGTTGATTAATGTGCACCGTCTCTGGTAAATAGATGAATAAAAAATAAAAAATAAATAAAAATAAATTAGATAAATAAATAAATAAGATAAATAAATAAATAATTAAATAAATAAAATAGATAAATTAAATAAATAAATAAATAAAATAGATAAATACCTGAAGACTTCACTGAAGTGTATTTCTTAAATGCACTAAAGTTACTTTGCAGCACTTTGTGGACTTAATTAACATTACACAGCAGCATGAACAGGTGATTTCTAAAAGGAGTCTCGATGAAGGAGAGAAAAGAGGAAGAGGAGGATGAAGAAGAGAAAGAAAGAGGAAACGAACATGGAGAAGTTATCTTTAAGGTAACGGTCAGTCTGTTCTTCTGACGTCTTTAAATGGTTTAAATGTTCTACATCTTAAATTATTCCGTCTATGAAGAGAGTCTGTCGAGATGTTTTATGAGTAAAATAAGTAAAAAATAAAAAGTAGTCTTCCTGAGGATGTTTTTTCTGCTCGTTTTCAGTCCGTTTGTGAGAGAAAAAACATTTAACAAATACTGCAAAATAAACCACCACTCGAGAGAAGAAGAGAGCTGCGTTTGGGAGCCACAAAGTGCTACGATGCAGCACTCCAGCGTCCTCGACGTGAGCAACGTGAACTCTACTACGGCTGACTCACGACGACCAGCATCGAGTCCAAAAACTGTCAGAGCGACTCGGTTACGTGAGTCGCTGCAGGGTGAAGAGCGAGGGAGGCGGAAGGCCGGAATAAAACAACTAAAAAAACAGACGCGGAGAACTTTGAACATCTCAGTATGCAGCGCTGAACTGGTTAACAGATCTCAGGAGAGACTCTCTACATAAAGCTCAGAAACACAGACTGCGTCTGGTCCCTGAAGGTGTCGGGGTGCTGGGTACTGAGAGGTGAACCTACATGGTCAAGCTCTTGAGCACTGTGGTTCCAGCGGAGCTGCAAACAGAAGATTGTAGGATTATGACACGGAGCGACACTGAACAACAAAAACACAAAATTAATCAGCAGGAGGAGGAAGGAGGTGATTGTTCTCCTCTGACCAGAGACGACCCGGATTCATCAAACAGCTGGAACATCGTCAGAAGAGGACTAAAAGTTAAAGTGAATATCTTCTGCTTTAAAGATAAAGATCTTTAAATGTTCTTAAATCTCTAACGTTGGTTCATGGTGACAGTGTTTTGCATTGAACAATAAAAATAAATCAGATTCACGTAGATCTGTAGCAAACAAGTGATTAAGTTCAGTTTGACATTTCTGTCTGAATAAGTTTCAATTTAATATTCTCAGTTTATGTTCTTATTTATTTGCATCACTGATATCTGTTGTGCAGGTGCTTCAATTAGTGCAGAATATTATCATCGTTTCAATAGAATAAGAATAATTAAAAGAGTTTTCATGCGTTTGTACGGCCTCATCACCTTGCGTTTCTTTTTAGATCATTATTTAGATATTCATATTCATTTACTCACGTATTTCACAGGTTTCTTTAAACATAAAGCCTTTAAATGTTCTTAGTTTTGCAGTATTTTTACTTTAACTTCTGGTCAAACCAGACCAGGTGAGACTGAAGCGACACTTCAGAGAGTGTTGAGTCTGTTTTCATGCTAATGAAGGGTGATGTTCTCTATTCTTAGGAATGAACATCCACTTACAGCACATGTCTAACATATAAATTACAGAGTTGTCTTTAAAGGTCACTCCCACGCTTTGCTAGCAGTGAGACCGAGTCATATGATTATTATTATTATTATTAGAGACTTCTCCTCATGTTTGATAAAAACAGGCCCAGATCAGCCTTCTGGTCACAATCAATGTCGGTGCAATAAATCAAAAACATTGGACAATTACAGGTTCTTCTAGTTAAATTAAAGATGGAAGAAACAAGAGTGGCTTCTATCAAACTGTTGGATTCAGGGTGTGCGCTCGGCTGGCGGATTGTTACAGCATGCAGGCTTGTTATGGGTTAAAGGGGGGATCGGGGGATCGGGGGATAAATTAAAGGGCTAATAAATCGCCGGGTCTTACGCTGCTCTCTCTGGGGACGATGGAACTGAGGAGCCGTTACTGAGAGGAAAAAAACAAAAGAAAGAAGAAGAAGACGGTTAAACACGGAGAGACGGATTCAAACCACAGTGACAGGAAGCTGTTGAGAAGAAGAAAAGAAGTGACTACTCTCCAACCCGTCAGACGCTGATGCATCATCAATAGTTAGCGTTTCTCTCAGGCTTCTGCATCATGAAACATTCAGTGTTTAGTTTGATTTCCACAGCGAGTGAATGTTGAACGCACAGAGTCAAACATCACAGCAGACATAGCGCACAGTGCTGCACCGTGAGAGAGCAGAAGACAAAGAGTTAACAAGTATTGAGATACTTTACCTCAGAATTATTTATAAATGATCGTTAGAAGTGCTTATAACTGTACTCAACCCTCTGAACCTCAAGCAGTTTTTGGGCATTTTTCACTGTAACATAAAGTCCTGCTCCTCTATTAAACAGAACCATGATGAGTAGAAGTAGAGAGAACTAGAACACGTCTTTAGTGCAGAATGACAGTTATGACGACATTAATCATTAAAAAAATGAAAGAAACGCAAGCTGAAAATCTTTATTTTACAAAAATTGGAAAACAATGGAATCTATATATTCAACATGTCTCCAAGTGTCCACAAGTGTTACTGATGTTGGGAAAACATGGAGGCTCCATATGTTATAATATTAAACTATTCACATTTTAACAGCCCCTCCCCTCCCCTCCTCTCCTCGATTTTAAATGAGAACATGAAGAATAAAATGTTTTTGATGAAATATCACAATTCTAAGCTTAGTAGCTTAGTTTCTGCAGCTGTTTCTGATGGAAGCGTTTGTCGTACATGAGGCAACTGTGGGAAATATGACCATCTGACGGTAATGACTGTTTTTACAGCTTCTGGTTGTGATAAACGGTGTCGTTTTGCCAACTGTCTACAAAGAAAACATGCTTTTCCATCCTGCCTGTAGTTTTTGAGGTTCAGAGGGTTAAAGAGTGCTATAAGAACAGTATAAGTATGGTTATAATGCATTAAAGAGAAGAAACCAACACAACAGAGCCCAAATTCAGTTCCCACATCTCCTACAGTGGAGAACCATTAACCTTTGACCCGTTGCAGGGTTCTAACACCCACCTCGGGAACCACAACTCCTGTTTTTTATGCTCATAACTAAAAAGAGGCAGGATGATGAGGTTCCTGCTCACTACGACCGCCTCAAAGTGTCAAACCGTTAAAAGCTGGGTTACCTGCGCAGGCCGGCGTCGTTCTGCACCTCCTCTGGGATGAGCTCCGACTCGCTCTGGGCGATCCTCAGCGCCAGCTCCCTGTCCCTCCTCTCCTGCTCCAGGACGGTCTGCCGAGAGGCGTCCTCCTCCCGCTCCGCCTGCAGCTGCAACTCCATCTCCATCTGAACCACGTGAAAAAGAGTTGGTTTTTAACTGCGTGCTGCACCACCTGGAGAGCCGCCGTTGACATATGTTCACGTGCTGGAAGTGTCGGAGAAGCACCGTCTACCATCTGCAGGTGTGAAATATATCAGCCAGATGCACCGGAGAGATCCGGCTGCTGCGTCCTCAGTTCACTTTACAAACGTCGTCTCTTTAATAAATCTGACAGCTCCGACTGTTCTACAAGCCAGCTGTTTACAAATGCAGATGTCCCCCGAAGTGCAGATGTTTGCAGCTGTACTCACACACCGCGAGTTTGAGTCCCAAAACAACAACAACAACACGCTGTTTTGTTTCAATGTGGGCCGTGATTGGCTGGTCACACACAGCTGATGTAGCTGATGTAGCTGATGTAGCCTACAGAGGTCTCACTTCTTTAAATTGTTTTTACTTTTCAAACTTCCGTCTTCACTCGAGGATGTTTATTAGACTTCACACATCTGGACACACTTGAGACTTCACATGTTTTCTTTTTCTTAATACTCTGCAGTAAAAACCTGTGATTTGCAACATGACATCATCACCTGTCATGTGACTGACAAGTTACTTACTGATACGTTACTTACTGATACGTTATGGAGAGCAACAAAATAAGTTTCAATCAATATGCAGATGATACACCGGTTTATATAACCATATATCCATATAACCACATATTCATATAACCATATCACCACATTTAAACAAAGACAAACCTGTAAACACTGTGGTATTTGTTGTAGGAAAGATTCAGCGCTCGTCTTCAAATCGGCAAAGTTAAAACACGACAAACTAAAGCAGAAGTTTGTCTGTACGGACACATGAAGAAGATATCACGGAGCCTTTTCTTACTACGACAGACTAACCTTCAATAACAGACTCCTCCTTGGTTTGAAGTAAACATTGTAGAAGTCAAACTAAAACTTATTTCAATGAGTGAAAGCCTTTTTCTTTTCTTTTGATCTTCCTAGCTTTATATCATGTGCATGTATATATTTTCTCCATTATGTCCATCTAGATGAGGTCATTCTTTGTTTGGACTTATGTCTCATTTGGAAGAACTTGTCAATTTGTTGATCTTAAGTAGACTCGACTATTGGAACGGTGTCTTCACAGGTCCATTAAATAGCTGCACCAAAACCACATCGGTCCAGTTCTAAGGTCTTTACTCCGACTTCCTGTCTGTCAGAGAACTGACTTCATGTTGTTTGCTTATAAAGCAGCGAATGCTTTCGTACATTATGAACCATCCAGACCTGTCAGGTCTGCTTCCTGTCCCCCAGAGTCAAAACTAAACCCGGAGAAACAGCGTTCAGTCTTTATGATTCATAAATGTGAAGCTGGTGGAAGTGTGTGAGGTTTGTATGGAAACGCAGCCTCGGGGGCTCCGGGACGCCGGCCAGCAGCTTTGATCCAAACGGCCGCCGCTCGCCACTAAAATCTGCCCCTGATCCGGCCGGGTCGGCGCCCCGCCCCGGGGATCCACTGGAACCGGGCCTCAGCCACGCCAGCAGATGGGCTGGATGGAGACACGCTGGACGATGAAGATAAAACCCACGTCGTTTATTTGTGATGGACATCAGAGATGAGAACCTAAAAGCATGTGCATCATGGAGATCAAAGTGATTCCTTTAGTTTCCAGAGAGGAGTGCTGCCTGACAGCAGACCGCTGCTCTAGTGTTAGAATACACAGGTGACCTCATGTTCTCTGGGCGGTTCATATTCACTCTCTACATTACTATGTCTGTTATATCGTACTTCATCTTCACTTCAAGCACACTGTCAGTGAGTGTTTGAGTTCACATCTCATTAAACTGTGAAATACGTCTCTGATGACACAAAGTTCGACTCGGTATTTACTTAATATCACATGATATGTATTTTAATTACTTTTTCCTCCAATTCATAATGATGCTGCTGCTTCCTGCTCTGTGATTCATGTCTCAGGTTCCTTTCTTTACCTTCATTTCCCCACATTTAATTATAATTATTATTATTCTGTGTTTCTCAGTCAAATCTAAAAACAGACATGATGCGTATATTTTATCATAATCTCTGATGTTCAACAATAAACCTTTATTTACAGATCAGATAATTAAATATGCTCCTTTGCAGAACCTGCCTGAGAATGTTTTCTTAAGTCGTGATAGTTTTCTCCAAACATAAACGTGTAAACTGGAAACAAAAGCTCCGAATACATAACTCGTCATACTTTTAATTTCTCTTCACACACCTGATATACCGTTACCTCGTAAGCACAGAGAGCGACACTCTGCACATTGTTAATCCAGCACAACAAGCTGCAGTGAATTTAACTTTTACCAACAATAGAACAGTAGAAGCTCAGTATTTCTGTGAAGAAGATCGTGCAGCTTTTGCAGAAGTTACAAAAAAGAAACCAAAGTATCTGGAGAGGTGAAATCACCTTGAACTCAAACAGCATCTCTGTGCTCTCAGGCTGTGACGTTTAAAAAATGAGGTAATGTGCAAAAGTGATGAATGTATACTTTTTTATTTTTCTTAATTATTATAATTTTTCTTGATATATTCTGTGTTTTTTTTGCATTCTGCCTAGTCTGTGTGCCTGTGTGTGATGTTGGTGTGTTTGGATCAAAACAAATTTAAATGCATAGAAAATAAAATACATGAGAGAAAAACACCAGAAGAAAATGAGGTAATTATATGGAGATAAATGCATCTCTTGCATTTCTCTCCATCTGCAAACAAAAGGAGGAATTGCACTCGTGCCGAACACGCTCTGGGTGCGTCTGCGCTCTGATATCGAGCAACACGTTGAGATGACAGCGGTTGCAAAGTGATGCACAACTGATGTTGCCATCAGCGACCGCGATGCATCCTTTATGAGTTCCCCCCTCAGTGCTCTACATCCTCCCAGAGAACCATCTGCTAAACAACCAGAACCAGCACCCACCTGCATCTTCCTCTCCTCCTCCTCCCTCCTCTTCCTCTCCTCCTCTTCCTGCTTCCTCTTCTGCTCCATCTCGGATTTCCTGATGGAGGGAAGAAAAACAGAAAGAGGGGAAGAAGATGAAAGAAGGAAAACAAAGACAGGAAATCATTCAGAGAAAGAGAGAAAGGAACAGACGAGACGAAGACAAAAGACATTCAGATGAATTAAGGAGCAGCGAAGGAGACGGAGAGACGAATGAAGATGGATTAGTGAAGTGAGAACACTTCTTCTTCTCCTCTGACTGCTACCAGTGTCAGACTCAGCGTTTCTCCATGAGCAGAAGATATTTTGGCATTTCCCCAAATAAATGTATAAAAAGTTAAACATGAAGTTTGACTTTTTTTAAAACTATAATTTCAGTGAATCTGAACCAACAGACACTTAATGACAAAGACTCAGTAACAGATGGAGGAGCAGTAGACAGCAGCTCCTGTGCTCTGAGAGGTAGAGTCAGTGTTCTATGGATGGAGTCTGGTGTGTTTGTAGAGATCACATGTTCTCCTGTCTGGTTCTATGAACTCATCTCCTGCAGTAGAACCCTGACTGTGGAGCAGAACCTCTTCTACATCTCCATCACCACTGTCCCTGTAAGCTGGTTTCTCGGCTCTTTGCCTTTTGATTTCTGTCGTGCGCTGACATGAAACCAGACGCTCTGACATCATTTCCTCTTCAGTCCCGACTGTTGTCCTCTCGGGTCAGACAGGAAGTGAAGGTTGTTCTTCTGCTGCGCACACGCGCACACGCACACACACACACACACACACACACACACACACTCTGCTCCAAATAGAAACATCAGCTAAAACGCCTAAAAATAAAAGAGGAATTTAAAGCACCAGGAGGGACATGCAGTCACAACCTTGTGCATAACGTTTGGACCGAAGAGGAATTAAACAAGGCGGTGTCGGGGACTTTTATCTTCTAAATGCTCCAACCACGACCTCCAGTCTGTGACCTCCAGCTGGATCCTGGGACTTCATAACTTGCCAGCGGAGGAGACTGAAGGGAAGGCAAAGTGGACCATAATGTGGAGTCCGTCATCTCTAATGTCTTACATTAGCGGGCAGTGGTTTGTGACGAACACAATGGTCCCCATCAGTCCTCCTCCAAGACTCCTCAGGAAGAGGACGGTCACATAACCGACGCGATCCGGGATTCAAACACCTCACCGGACCCTTACATGCTGTCATGAAGGAACTAGAACTAGAACACTGAGACCGAAGCGACAGATCTCCTTCATTCTGACATGCTGTTATACTTATTCCTGCAGAGCTGCACAGAGAGGATCTGGAAGTGCCTTAAAGGGACAGTACTGATGTTCAGTAGTGTGTGTGTATGAGGTTCTCCTCCACAGTCAGGGTTCTACTGCAGGAGATGAGTTCATAGAACAGACAGGAGAACCAGCACGGGAGCAAAGTAATGTTCTGCTGTGGACGTATTTTAAAGAGTCTCTCAGTTTAAGTGAGCGCTGTATTTAGAATGTCTTCTCCTCTTTACCTTGCTGTCAGACACTGAAGCTGTTCTCTGTGATCTCTACAAACACACCAGACTCCATTCATAGAACTCTACCTCTCAGAGCACAGGAGCTGCTGTCTACTGCTCCTCCATCTGAATATTGAATCAATTAAAACAAGTCTTTGTCACATGAGATGACATGTTAAAGGTGAGCGGGTTGAACCCTTCATGTGGTGACTGTGAGGCTGAGACGTTTGACTTCTTATCTCTTCTGATGATAACTGAAGCTGTAAAGAAGCAACAAACCCGGCTCGTGTATAAAAGTAAATCCTTGTGGTGTCATTATGTAAATCCCTAAGATGAGTGGACACGGAGTGCTTCTGTCCACTGCAGCAGTTTTTGCAGGGTCGAAAAAAAACGCAGCCAAGTGGCTCTTCATTTAGTTTTTTTGCTGCGTACGTGACGGCAAACCCCCAAAACATTCAACACTCACAGCTTCCGGTCGTCGTCGTCCTGCTTGCGGCGCTGCTCGTCCTCCTCCCTCCTCTTCTTCTCCCGCTCCATCTCCTCCTCGATGCGTCGCAGCCTCTCGCGCTCCTCCTCCTCCTTCTTCTTGTTCTGCATGGCGATGAGCAGCTGCTCCGACCGGGTCACCAGGGCCTGGTACTCGTGGTCGATGTCGATCCGGGTCATGACGGTGCGCTGACGGACACAGAAGCAGAACCGAGTTATAATGACGCATTTAGGCCTTTAGCTGGAACAGGTTTATATTTCAAATGTTACGTTTCCCACCCAATACAAACTCAAACGTCCTCCATGTGACCTGTCAATCACTGTGTAGCCCCGCCCTAAAGCATCCCCTGCT